ATTGTGTTTTTTAGAAAAGTAGCAAAAACGTTACATTCACTTCTGAACTGTTAACTAACAATAATCATAGGTAAAGTTTTGAGTTAGAAAATCTAACTCAAGTACTGAAATTTATTGCAACTGATAAAGTATCATTTACAAAGTTATATCTGTATCCGTAATCTTGAAATCGAAATGTGAGGGAAAAGAAATTATTGAAACCCCTTTTTATTTTCGTAAGTTAGTCTATATGTTATAAAACCAAAAAACATATGTACACAAATAAATTTAAACAATGCTCAGATCTTTAATAAAATCTAAAAGTAAATACTATATCTTTAAACTATGAAAACCAAAGTTCGATAGTTTATGGACTTCAATCTGTTTAGTACATCAGCTAGGGATTATTCAATATCATCTGCAACATCCATCTTACTCCCTGCTTACAAGTCACGAATCTTCACAAGAACTACTAGAATTGATCTTGAAATCTGTCATCGATGAATGTAGAATGTGTATTTAAACTACAAAGTTTATGTTAATTATTCTATTTTTTTTGTTAAAATAATCAGGCAGTTCATGGTTTTGAACAGACTTTTCCATAACGAACATCGTACATATTTTATTATCATAATCTACAGGTCATTAATCTAAAATAATCGACTAAAATAACCAAAGTTTGAAAACGGTTAAGTTTGTGCTAATATCAAATTCATGTAGTAAAAGAAATGTCTTCAAAATAATATGTGCATTTGTCTTTTTGTTCTGAGATGACTAATTTCGGAAACAAACACCACTGATCAACTAATAACCGGTGACAAACACCTCGTTTTTAGCTTACATAAAATGTTGTTAGTAGTTACGAAATTATGTTGTTTCATTAACTGATAACTTTTTCTTCCAAGAAGATTTCAGAATAATTTTTAATGTAGGATGAAGTCTGCTATAAAAACTGAATATCAGAAAGCTTTTAACAACTGCTTCACCCACATTCACTACTCAATACTACGATTCCACAAGTTCACAACTGAATCCAGGCCCTACAGCCTTGTGGTAAGCGCTTAACCTCTAAACTTATAAGCCGGCATCCAATGGTGTGTGTGTTTAGCTTTATTCAATCCGAAATTTTTTGAGACTATCTACCACTTTTCAAAATCTACAACTATCATATATTTCACTAGTCACGGTTTCTTACAAGAATTCATGGAATTGCATCTAGTAGCTAGTCACTAGTGAGAGCATTATTATTAATAGTAGTCGTTTAAGAAGTTTGTAGAGTCTGCAGGGATTTGACAGTTCACATCACAGACAACTTTCCGATGCTTTCTTTTTTTCAGTGGTTGTAATGTAGAATATATAGATCCAACAATCTTTCCCAACTCCCTTTAGTTGATAAAAACTGAATAGTAAAATTTCAAAACTTTTTCATTAACTGAAAATCTGAACTTTTTCAATTGTCTACATAGTCTTTCTCAAATTAAATTTTTTTCTTAAATTTTATGTAAAAAGCACTGAAGCATAATGGTCGTTTTAATTCGACTAATTAAATGTATTGGTTGATTTAAAATAGGAAAAGTTAATTCATTTGTGAAATCTCTTTTTGCTATAAAACTACACAGATTTCAATAAGATTATGACCAAACTTCCTATCGTTTGAATTTACTTGGTATTGTTTATTTGAATCTTCCCATTGATGTTTTAGGATTGCAATTGATCAGTCTCTTATTGACATATGTGCAATTCACACAGAATGCATATATACCAATAAGAGACTGATTAATTGCAGTTCTAAACATCAATTGAAAGATTCAAATAAACAATACTAAGGGAATTTAAACTTCACCACATTGCACAAACAAGTAGCTATCAGGACTCCGTAACTAAGTGGATAACGCAGTGGCGTTTGAAGTGAACGGTACAGGGTTCGAATCCCAGAGTGAACATCAACTCTGAGATACATGTACATCCAACTTACGAGTACAAAATAGGACGAGACGCACGTCCTGAGTTCCACTTCTAGCCATTGTCTGTATTTGCTTATATTCCTATCTTTTAGTTTCTAATTTATTTATGGTTGTTAGCAGTTTAACTGTAGATCAAATTTCATTAAAACGCAATGTATATTTAAACGTATCTGTGAATATTTCAAAAAGTTACTCTACAATACACAAATTAATAAGCAAGAAATTCTTTGTAAATATTCAAAGTTTTGCTAACAATTTAACTTAATCTAATTTCCAGATAGTCTTGGGTAATTCAGTAACAGATTGATAGTGTAGCGAACAGGAACACAAGTGTTGACAGTCAAATTTGTTTAAGTCCAAATTACAGACTATCTGATAATCATACAGTAAACAGTTAATTATCAAAATAACAATCAATTGTCTAAATCTTGACTGTTCCTTCTGTAAAGATCAATTCATCTTCTCTGATTTTATTGTTCATGCATTTTCATACCGATTGAGCTTCATTCCTAATCTTTCCTTATCGATCTTCTGTCAAAATACATTCTATACCTGACCATCACCATATACTACTTATGTGGATATAAGTAACCCATACCACAATAGTACATTTAGAAAATGTGAGAATATTTATATACTTATATATATATAATGCCAAATAATAACATTTCCCTTACATGCAATAAAGAAGAAATGTTGTTCATGTGTACAACGAATCGATATGTCAAAGTATTTTATATACAAATTTATCTTAACTGTTCACTTTTCAACCAAAATAAATCTCAAATAAATATTTTTGTAGAAAACTAGCCAAGTGAATAAAGAATGATGGTGAGCAGTCCACTGTCCTTCATGAGGGGTAACAGGCGTAAGTAAGCCAAATGTTAACAATGTCATGATCGAATTTCAAAAACATCTTAAATGACATTAAGATACATAGTGTCATATGGAAATATTATTTTATGGAAACCTATAAATATTGTCAACTTCGAAGACATTAGTAAATTTTCTATGAAAAGAAATACACTATGATTAAAATGATGAATAGACCATTATGATTGTTTCGAAATTCATTATATTTGTATATATACATATAGAAACGTATACGTACTCACTTTTTTTCAACATAAAAGTCATAATCATGTAAAAACAGTTAAAATATTCTTAACTTTGTATACTTTCTGAGTTATTTGATAGTTTATTACATAATATCATTCATTGATAAAGCAATAGGACAAAAAGGCCGTCTAGTGCTTCTAGGTTTTCCATGGTGTCATAGCTTCAATTGACTCATGATCTCAACTATGGAAATAAAAAAATTGTTTTTACTTATTTCAGTAAGTATAATGTCTCCATTGGATGACAGGATTCATTCCATAGAAAAAATAATACTTTGATATAGTTATCTACGTTTGATAAACAATTTAAACTACTATCATTGTGGATAGTCTTCATGACTGGTATTATTATTATGATTTCGATATCATTATTCATCTTCCAAAAGCATGAATGATTTAGTTGCCACCTACCATACGTTATTATTTCTTGTTGAATTCATATAACTTTATATTATTATTATTATCGTCTTCCACTAAACATTTGATCTGATTTGTAATTACATTATCATATCTCTTACACTTTGTCATCTGTATCTATTTATGATTGGTAATTTTACCACGTAATTTAACGGTATACACTTATTCAAGTTAACATTATGTATTAGTCACCTCAACATTGTCAATCCTACATTCGTATGCTACAACTTCAAATGATGTATTTACCATAAACTTGGCCATATTTGGATTACTAATTTGAATATATAACTTAAGAATCTGAAGAGAATTTATAATAACAATATTCTTCCTTCATAAATCAATGTTTACCAAAAGATATTTCCATGAACTATACAAATACATAGATATACCAGAGGTGATCCTTCTAAAGAGACCTTAGGTTATCTAGCTTTTTGTAACTACAGTTAAGTTCTTTCTTAGAAGGAGGACGTTTTACTAATTCATGTTTCTGTAATAATTCTTGTTGAAATCTGAATGGTTACCACTACGTTTACTTTGCTAATTTTGTGAATGTAATTATGTAATCATAGCTGTTCCTTTTTAACTTTTGACTTCTTTACAGAATATAAACTTATCCTGTTTCATTTCTTTGAATAGTGTGTAGGTTGTGAAAGTTAGTGTTGCTAATTGACAGACATCTGGTGCATACAAGTTCCCTTTGATTGTGTTATATTATAAGAATCCTTAATCATTCGTAACTAGAGTTTACTATAGGCTAAATGGAGACCCTTATAGACATGATTGTTTTATAGAGACTTAAGTAATTTACATGCAAACATTTTAATCAAATAAAATATTTTAACAAGTAAATAAATGGTTTTAGGTTTAATTACTTGGGGAATAAATAAACTCCTGAATTCTCATCAAAAACTGACATCCACTAGAAAACTATTTGAGAATAAGTCAAACTGGACAGATACTATGTTTCTGTTTGAGACTCAATATCAGTGTAGACTCATAATTATACATACAGACTAGAACCCAAGAATATCAATTTATGTAATCAGCGTGATATTTTCAGGTCACTTACCTCAAATCTATTCGTCTATATTTTAAAATTCAGGTGAATTTCTTTTCATCCAATGATGTTTTATCCTGCCATGAATTTAGTTAGTAGTAAAATTTGTATTACTGATAGTTTCATGTATAGTTTCTAAATTATTAAACTATAAAACCAATACACTGAGTATTGTTTGTTCAAACCTTCCCATTGATGCTTCACCCCATTGCACAAGCAATTGACTATCAGGAATCAGTAGATGAGTGGATAACGCGATGGCATTCGAAGCAAAGGGTACTGGGTTCGACTCCCAGAGTGAATATCAACTCTGAGATACAGGTACATCCAGCTGACGAATCCCAAATAGGACGAAACGTGTCACTATTCATCTTTGCTTATGAAACCAATATTTTTTTAAAATGATTATTATAAATAATTATATTGGAAAATAAAACCATATTAACAATACATGTATTATCTTACTTTTAACTGCATCTAAAGGTTTTGCCACGAGTTGTTTAGCAATATAACCAGCCATATCTTATTATGTATATTGATATTCTTTATTATTAAGATGAAATATAACTTTTAAGTAATGTGTTCCAGTAACAGTATTATTTTGTAGAATGATAATTATGTATATCTGTATAGTAACACTTTATAACGTTTCCACAGTATCAAAAAGAAGATAAAAATGGATACTTTGCTAAAATAAAAAAAAACCGGAATAATCTTCTTTTCTTCACTTGTAAACGTTGTTAATACATAAGCATAAACAATAGCTCATTAATCTTTTAAATAAAAAGTGAGTACTGATATGTGACAGTAAAACAGATTTTCCATTGGTCAAAATATGAATTTATAAACTGATTGGCCTACTACTTATTTATTCTGTTCTACTAACATTTTATTACATTTATCCGAGTAATTACCGTGATAATAATAGTTACTGGTCAGCGTTTGTTTAGCGAGTTATTTTTCTACAGGATGAGGTCGCTAACCCAATGCCCAGTTCTCCTCCTTTATCCGGGCTTGGGACTGGCAGTAGCCCCCGGAGAGGCTGCAGACGGAGTTATAATAATAATAGTGGTAATAATAGTAATTATTATAGCTGTTATTAAATAAATTCATATTTATATACGAAAAAAAATGTTAATGTTCATTAGTTCGAATAGATTTTGGCGAAATTTGATCTACCAGAAGGAGAAACAAAACAAAGATAAATTCACTTATTACTGTTTATTTGAATCTTATCATTGATGTTTTAAAACTGCGATTGGTCAGTTTCTAATTGGCATATGTACATACTGTGCGTATTGCCTCGATATGGCCTAAATTCACAAGCATTATAAGCAAAGATGGATAGTGGATAGCAATGGAATCCAGGACGCACGTTTCGTCCTATTTGGGGCTCATCAGCTGGATGTACCTGCATCTCAGAGTTGATGTTCACTCCAACACTCGAACCCAGTAGCTTTCGCTTCGAACGCCATCGCGTTATCCACTTAGCCACTGAGCCCCGATAGTCACTTGCTTTTGCAATGGGGTGAAGTTTGAATTTACTTAGTATTGTTTGTTTGAATCTTCCCATTGATGTTTTAGGACTGCAACTGGTTAATCACTAAAATAAAGATAGATAGTATAAAATGAAATAGTGTAACGATACATTAATATTTGATTATCCTATCGACTATCCAATAAAGTAAATACAATAAACATTTATTTTGATAAATAACACTTAAATGAAGATTTCTTTTCTTCTTCCAATTGTGTTTTGTATTACTTAAGCAAGAAATTATGAAATACTTCATATAGTGACCACAGTTTTATTATTGTATATAATGAAGTATTCAAGCATTCAGGTTAATTGACAATGTTGTTATTGTTATATGTATTTACTTTTTCATACTCTATATTGTTTATTTTTTTATTTCTTTCGGAAATAATTCGATAAACAACTAGTTATTCTAGTCTATTATTACTATGACTGAACGAAATGAAATCGTACTGAAGCAAATTATTCTACATTTAGGTAATCAACTTGAAGAGGTATTGTTTCTTCATAGCTATCCTATGTTCTAGGCTAATATTTACTAATGGTTAGAAAAACAAATAAACTAGCTTTAACTTCAGTGGCCATTTTTTTTAATTCTTGAGAGATTGTTCGAAGATTTTGTTATAAATGAAATCACCACAACTGCTACAAGTGGTTTTCAGTTTAGTTTATTATTCTATGAATTATCCTGTTATCGATGTTATTGACTGAATTTTGATCTTCCTTAATCAGCGAATGTGCATACTGCACGACTACCTCTATTCAGACATTAGGTTGCAAGTTTTCATGAAATGGATAGAATGTGGCTAGCAGTGGAATTTCAGAACTCATTTCTTCCGATTTAGGACATGTAAGGTAAATATACCTGCATCGTTATGTTGATATTCTCTACAGAACAATTTAGTGACAGTCTGAACTCAGTAGCTCAGTGAATAATCCGTTGATAGTTCGAAATAAAAAGTACTGGATTTGAATCCCTTCGTGAATATCAACACTAGGATATAGATACATCCAGCTAACAAGTCTTGAATGGGATGGAACGTATATCTTTTAGTCAACTCCCAACCATATTACATCTGTTGATATTCTTGTTATAAGACAGTAGCATAGTTCTTAATTGATATCAAAATTTTAAAGTTTTCAACCATAGTTTCATAATTTCAAACTCTGCTGGTTAAAAATCATCGGGGATTAAACGGTTTCCTATGCGATTAATTACCCCATATCATACAAAAACCTTGATTGTAATCACATGAAGCGAAATGAAAGAAGTGTAACTTTTGATACATTTTCATCTTTAATGAATGATAAATAATAATAATAGCTTTATTCTATATCATTTGTTAATTTACAGTATAGACAAATCAACTCAAAATATACAACATCGCTCGGAGTTCTACATTGACATACATATGCATAAATTATATTAGAACGTATTCTAATGGAATTCATTTGACAACCATTTTCGATTGTTAACGTTTTTGACCATTCCGACACCATAAAATATGCATGATATATGAAGTTTAGTATATAAATAAGCCAGAAGGAAAATATATCAACAATTATGATATTCCCTCTTTTAATTTTTAGTATTTAATGCAAGGGTAGGTTATGAATTTCTTGTTAAAGCTCATTAGGCTATATTTCTTGATTTCAACATTAAAAATATTCTTTAGTATGCTCGTAAATCACAACAAAATGACTCCACGAAATCCACTGCCGAGTATATAAAGACAATAAATCAACATATTATGATGGGTAATTATGTTACACAGTTGATGTGTCACAGGGCGGTGATCAATGTCATGTGTGTCATGTCCTTCTTAGTACGTATCGAATGCTATCGATCTGGTTGCAATGTGTCCACTAGTCTAGGTGACTCAACACTGCGCGCACTATGTTGAGATATGATAGTGGTTGAAGGTGGTCAACAGGAAACCCTGGACCCGGGTTTCGCGCTTCTTGGCACTCGTCAGCAAGGTGTCCCTGTAGTCTTGAGGGAACGGGTACTCTCTGACGGATTCGATTCCGTGCTGATGAGTTCCAAGTAGCACGAAACCCGAGTCCAGGGTTTCCTGTTGACCATCTCCAACCACCATCTTATCTCAATTATGTTAAACTTCTACCTGAAGTTTGTGTGGACGATGTCGTTCAGAAAAACAATGAAAGCTTCACGACCAAACCATCTAGCTCAGAAAACAAAACTCCATCATTATGTTACGCAAACACTCTAAACTTATTACAAATAGACAATGAATAATAAAAGTAGAAACATGCAACAAATGAATGAAGCAACATTTAACAAAAAAATAATATAATAACCTGGATTAGAGAAGTTTAGTATCAGTCTCTACTATTTTATTACAATTTTCCTAATGTATTTCATTAAATAATTAATTCAACTGAAGTGTTTTATACAACTTTCTCATCACGACAAATGTGTACGGGATCTGCTTTTTTTTACCATACTCAACTTATTTCTAACTTATTATTCTGAATAATTGAACCATAAAACGTTAATTTAATGTTTATTTTAATGGATTTAACTTAAAGCGTATAAAAAATATTTCATCTCATATAATCATTTCAATTCACAATGATGATATTAGAGAATGTAATTAGAAATAGTGAGAATTTTAAAAGGTTATTGACATATCAGTATGAAGATTTGTAGAGATTATAGTACTGTTATAGTTGAGTTCATGAGTCGATCTAAGATAGACTATCAATGAAAAACCTGGAAGCACTGGACGGCCGTTTCCTCTCAGTATGGAATTCATCACCGGTGCTCGTGAATTAAACCGTGACAATACTATTATCTCCGCGAAAATCTCTATACTGATAATAATCATGTGTTCACTAGTGACTAACTTCAAGATGAATTTCCTAGAGTTCTAGTGAAAGGCCATGAACAATGGAGTCCGATCCGTGTCGGGTGTAAGACAGTTACCCATCTCAGACAATGGATGAAGGGTTGCACAAGATCATGCATCGGTTGAAATTAGACAGTAACACCAGTGGATGCCGATTCAGTGGTCTAGACGTTAGGCGTCAGCGTGCAAGATCAAATGTCCTGGATTAGAGTCCTGTCCGCGGGATCGTGGATGAGCACTGCTGAAGAATCCCATACTAGGAGGAAATGACCGTCCAGTACTTCCAGGTTTTCGACGATGGTCTAGCTTACATCAGATCGATAATTATTAACATGGTACCAGTATATAGTTTAAATTATTAGCCGTGTATAAATATATTGACCAAATTAATGTCTCATGCGGATCATGAAAAAATTCAACTTCCTTCCACTTCTCTATTTAATATCACATATTTTTTATAAATTATCATTTTGTATTTTGACATTAAATTCAATCATTATTTATGCATCATTGACTTTTTAACAAAAACCTTAACTGATTCAGGTAAGAACTCACTATTTTTTTAATGTATCTATAATTCATACAAAAGTGTAGAATAATTTTGTTATATCTTGTAGCCGAGTGGATGCCTAGTTAATGTGCGACTTGATGAGACCGCCAATCAGAAAGCAACGAATTATCGATGGGAACAGTGACGCACGAAACCGTACGAGCAGTCTAGAGCGCTAACCGGTCCTGCTTCTGCCTATCCCAGCCAGTTAAGTCCAAAACATCTACAACAGCCTCTGTGGTATGAAACCTTATATTTCAAATATACTGGGTTTATATACCAACCAAACAGACCACATCGTACCATAAAATAGAAAATAACATTTTTACAACATTTAGCCAAAGATGGCTGTGAATAGTAATCAATAAACTGGTGATAACTCAAGAATCGTATAATAATAGTTCAAAGGTCAAAATAAAGCTAATGATAAGAGGAAACGAATATGATTAGGTTAGTTACAATAGAAAATATACATATTACATTGGCCAATAAATAGTCCTCAGAAGTTACCATTCACAATTCTCTTCCAGATACAACAAACTTATGTCAATATTTCACTG